AGAAATTTGTGAAAGCCGTTTCCAAGCCCAGTCGGCCTGACATGAATCCCATCAGGTGAGCATGTGATCCCTGCCCTCCTTGCTTCTTTCTGGCTAGTACCTGCTGCTCCCATCCAGTGAGGGATGGGATGGCTCAGTGGAGGGCACTAGGCAAGTTGGTGTTAGGGACAAGACTGTTCTTGCTGAGGAGTTTGGGGGTGCTAGGTAGGTGACTTGCTCCAGAGCATCTCCCCATCCTGCCTAGCAGTGGGTGGACTGCATTCTGAGGGGTTAAGGTGGCCTTGTTTAAGATGCACGTGCTTCTGAGAGTGCCAGCCCACCTCATGAATCACCGGTTCCCACTTGGGCATTGTTAGCACATCACCTGACCTCATTTTTTTCAGGTAAGAAATGGGTGCTGACGGAATGGGAGTTTTGAACGTGAAAAAAGAGAAGGATGGTTTGAGGGAATGGGACCCCCAGTGCTGGGGGAGGAGGCAGCCAGGATTGTTGTAATGTTAGATAGTGGGAAAGTTCCAGGATCCTGAGAGGGAAAGGAGGAAGAGAGCAGGGTCAGGAGGAGACAGACGGAGGACACACTTTTCCAGGGTAGGCTGAGGTCTGAGGTTATTGCCAAACGGCTTAGCCCTGCTCTTGGGGGCTTCATGCACTGGAGACTGAGGTATCTGTTTACACTTCACCAACATCATTTTTGTCCTTTTTAACATAAATTTAGTTAAAATTAAATCCAGTATTGAGAATGCCCTTTATAGATGGCATGTGAAAGTGTCAAAGGAATTTCTGTCTGCACTTTAGAATGTCCTGTCTGCTAGGTCCTGAAAGGCAGCTCCCAGGGGGAACCTTGCCTTCATTGCTTGTCGTTTGGTGGCTGGATTTCTGGGAACCTTCCCCACTAGCAGTTCCAAAGACATGTTCAGGGCCCCCCAGAGGTGGAGCGTGGGCATCAAACAGGAGCCCTACATCTTGGTTTGGGGTCCCCCACCTGCTGTGGGTAATAGAACTGTTAGGACTGTTGAGCAGTAACTTGTTATGGAAGGCCTAAAATCCACGTGGATAGACCTGGGCGAGAGCCTGCTCCTTGGTTTTCTGCCCTCTGGTGATGGTGAAGATGACTTGGGGGTGGGAATGCTGACAGAGACATCTTTGTCTGCCTCCTTTCTACCTCCTGTCTTCCAGTATCCATAGTTGCAATCCCCAGTTGTCCTGATGCAGGCCTGAAACCCAGGGCTTATCTGTGTAGACAGCTGCTTGGCAGGCTCAGTGTCCTCACTGCCGGTGGGCTGGGTGGTTTCAGGGAGGGCCTGGGGCAGAAGCCAAGGTCAGGTGCAGTCTCCTGCCTCCCAGCTGCCTCCTGGACAAGCATGTCCCCCAGGAAGCCTTTGCCTTGTCTCTGTCCCTCTGCCTGCAGGGTGAAGGAGGTGTACAGACTGGAAGAGATGGAGAAGATTTTTGTCAGGTGAGTGACTTAACCTTTGAAGCTCAGAGTCAAGAGGAGGCGGGGGTGCAGCCGTGTCCTGGAGTCATCCTCCGTTTTGTAGAGATGAGTCAGGGGTGGGGTAGTGAGCTGGCTCTAGTGGCCTCCTCATCTCACCTGCCTCGCTGCAGTGCCACTGCAGCCAAGAGCCCCCTGGCTGAGAGCTGCTTCAGCTTCCTGTCAGGAGGGACCCGGGCAGGCTGTGTCAGACAGAAATACGGGCTCATTGATGCTGTCATAGTTACGATGGGCCCTGCGAGGGGCTGAGCAGCAAACTGCTTGAAATACCATAAATCCCAGCTCCCAGTGCTGAGAGAGATTGAGCCTGGAGGGGTAGAAGGGGCATAAATGCGTCCTTTTAGTGGTATTCGGGTGCTCACAGATCTCAAGATCTCAGTCTCCTTCTAGGTGTGCTTGTGTGGAGAAGGTTACATTAAGTCTTTCATGGCCACAGTGTTGCCACGGCACCCATGGTCTCAGATCTCACCCTTACTGGTGTCACCATGAAACCCCTCAAACAGCAGCAACACTCCCCTGCACTGTCTGAGTGGGAATTCGGGGCCTGAATTCCAAACCCAGCGTGGCTACTCACTCACTTGGCTCTGTGCCTCAGTTTCGTCTTAAGTCAAACCAGCATCAGATACTACGGTTGGGGTGAATTTATTAGCCAGAGACTAATTTCATCAGCCAGGGCCTTTTCGCTCTCTCTTGCACATAACCTTCTCGGGGAAATCAGGTTGGAGATGAAGATCATCAAGGGCTCCAGTGGCACCCCAAAGCTCAGCTACACAGGGCGTGATGACCGGCACTTTGTACCCATGGGCCTCTACATCGTCAGGACAGTGAATGGTGGGTAAGGAGGGACTGTTCCTGCTACTCCCTCCCCTCTTCCCCCTTCCCCCCTCCTCGCCAGGTGATGGGCCCAGATGCTGCCTGAGCCAGAGCTAAGGTCTCACTGCTAAGGTGGGTAGCAGCCAGGCTGGCATTTCTCTGAGGTACATGTTAGGGGACAGTGTTCCCTGAGCCTCTCCTGTTCTTCCGTGGGCCCTGGGAGTTGGGTAGGGAATAGTGAGAGAGCTCAACTTGTACACATGCACGTGTTGTTCTCATGGCAGGAAAAGGGCCTTTTCAGTAGACGGCAGCATGTCCAGACAGTCAAGCTTGGCTTCTGTCCATTTGCATCCCCCCTTTCTTCAGAGCCCTCTGGCTGAGAGTCCTAGAGATGTTACCCTGATAGCTGGTTGGCAGGATTGGGGTGGGGTCATTGAGAAGTCATGACTTGGTCATTCTCCTGGAGCCCCTTTGGGCTGGTGATGAAGGCTGCCACCTCATGGGCTGTTCCCTGCCTGCTGTTGTGGGGAGGCAGGAATAGGACCACCAGGAGTGGAGAAGGGCACGCACCTGTCCTCCACAAGTGCTGTGTGTCCCTTCTGGGTTTCATCCCCTCTTGCTCCCGTCAGAGCCCTGGACTATGGGATTCAGCAAAAGCTTCAAGAGGAAGTTCTTCTACAACAAGAAAACCAAGGACTCTACTTTTGACCTCCCTGCAGACTCTATTGCCCCATTTCAGTAAGTAGCTGTTCTCCAAGCCTGCCCTCCTTAGCAGCCTCAAATACTCCTGCAGAATGCTAGCCAGCTGTCCTGGGGCACACCCTGGGTTCTGACACTACTGCCCACCAGGGGTTCCACTGAGCCTGAGAACACCTTTGTGGGGATGGCAGCCCCCTGCAGGTGTGGCCGGGCATGATGCCTGGACCTGCTGTGATAGCTGGGGGCCTGGCTGTGGAGGATCCCTCTGTGTAGCATATTCACTCCATGGAGCAGCCACGTTTCAGTGACATTCTGACGCTGGCCTGATGGTGGGAATATGCTGAGGGCCCACAGCCCTGCCCCTTGGCGCTCAAGGTCCCAGCTGTCCTTTTTAGGACCCAGTGTCCATTAGATTGTTGGTCATGGGCTTCCCCAGCAGCCCTCATGTGCCTGTAGTTAGCCACTGACATTTTCTGTCACCACACTACTAATACTGTTCTATTAGAGAAGCACAGACAGATAAAGTAGGAATATCAGTCTTTGTAGGAATCCAGTTGGATGCAATTAGCAGCAACATCTGTTTGTTGGGAAAAGTTGGTTCAGGGAGGCAGGGAGGAGCTGGGGCCTACTGGGTACCTTTTGGCTGCCGGGGGAAGACCCTCAACTAAAGTCATTGACAGACCCCTGCCTCCCACACCTTTAAGAACACTTTACCCTATTCCATCTGGGTGCAGCCCTCTGACCTCTTTGTCCTCCTCCTCCTCCCCAGCATCTGCTACTATGGCCGGCTCTTCTGGGAGTGGGGGGATGGCATTCGTGTGCATGACTCCCAGAAGCCCCAGGACCAGGACAAGCTGTCCAAGGAAGATGTCCTCTCCTTCATCCACATGCACAGCGCCTAAGGGCCTCAGGATGTGCCACCCCTGCAGAGTGTCCTGTCATTCCTGAGACAGGGCCACCTGGGGCCCACAGTGCTGGCTTCTTCCCCTCTTGAAAAGGGACCTGGGAGCATTGCACCTGGCATGAGGAGTAGGTGGCCTCCTCTCCATCCCCTGAAGAGCTCAGGCAGGGCCCTGCAGAGGACACTCCCATGTTCCTTCTGGGACACCTGCCTGGGAACTTTCCCCTGCCAGGACTCAGCCTGAAGGAAGCTGCTCCTGAGGCAGGTGTGAGGTCAGTGCCTAGGGCACGTGGGCTGATGGAGGACACGTCAGAGTAGCAGAGCTGTGGGCTCTCTATTCTCTCCTGCATCCTGTAGACTCACTTTTCTGAGTTCCATGCACTGCCCCTGAGGGTAGCCATGCCCTTGTTTTGCCCAACTTTTTATTGGGCCATCCCTGAGTAGGCGGAGGCCTGCTGTTGTGAGCTGGCCAGGAGAACCTGCTGTAAAAAATCAAGGTTTTGTTTCTTTGAACTTACCATTTTGATGCCAAGTTGGAGACGATTTTCTTGTCTCCTCCCCCCACTCATCCTGGCCGTCCCTGGAGTTGTCCTAGACCAGAGCTCTGACAGTCCAACAAGGTGGGAAGGAGGGAGTGTAGGCCTCACGTCCTTGACACCACGTTGAGATCCCGGGAGCCCTCTCTTTAGTACCGAGTATGGAGTTGTAGAGCCGTCCTGGGCCCCATCCCCTTTTAGTCCAAACATTGGGCAGCGCTAGAGGGCAGGAGGCAGCCTTGAAGACCTGTCTTTTTCTCCCCCACAACAGTGGCCCCACCAGTAACAAAGGCACCTCTAGGGGTTTGGGTGGTGCTGCCCTCTGGCAGTCATGCACCACCATCTGCCATAGCCACCCTAAGGTCTTGGCAGAATTCTGAGCTGGAAATGCAGCTCCCTTGCTGCCTTTTCCCATTTTTCTTCCCTAATAGGAGGTACAGTCTGCTTTTGTTTGTCGTTACATGGTCACTCCCATTTCCTCTATCTATCTTGGTGGAGGCAGAGAGGAGGGGAAGCTGGGCAGTAGCTCTGGGTGGGGGAGGGCACCTGTGGTTGTTTCTAATGGGAAATACCTCTCAGAGATGTTCATGCAGGCTCCCTAGGGCCCCATCCCAGTGCCAGGCTGGTTTCCATGGAGATAGATAGGGCACCGAGGCTCCTGTGAGGTTGGAATCGACTTCACCATGGGGGTCCTTCAGCCAGCATCCAGCTTCCCACCCCCAGGCTGGCAGCAGCACTGCTGAGATGCTGTATTTCCACCCAATCCTGGGTTTATCAGTGTGTCTTGCAGAATCTTGGATCATTAAAGATAAACATATTTTTAATGCTTGTGTGGCTCTGTGTTGGGGCTGCTGTTTGTCCTCAGTGCTTTGTGGTCTGGGACTGGCTTGGATGAAACAGCTTGGGTCAGAGGTGAAGGGGAGGCAGCTCTACTCATAGCAGAGGAGAGAAAAGAGGGTTTGTTTAATCGGAGCCTGTCCAAGCTTCTGGGGCCCTGCAGGGCTCCCAGGCCTGCTGCTTGCTGCTCAAGAAGGGGCCTAAAGAGTTGGGGGAAATGCAGAATGAATGAACGTACAGCCCCAGGAGGGCAGAGACACCTTCCCCCTTTACATAAATCATGCAGCTCACTCTGTGGTGGCACCGTGACAGTCCAGGATCAGTCTGTGTGACCAAAATAACAGAGGCGTCAGACCAATTAGTGTCACTAGACTGGGGGGAAAGAGGGAGGGAGAGATGGTTTCACTGACCCTAGCCTGCCTTCCCTTGGTGGAGGGCTGGTTCTGTTTGCAGTGGGTGGGGGAAGGGGGGAGGGGGGCTGTTCCTGGGGGTGGGGGATGCAGATGCAGCAGGCACCTCCTTCTCTGTTCCGGGGTGGTTTCTCCACCAGTTAGTCATCGTGCTGGTGCTGGTTCCCCAACAAAACCCAACTGCACTTTGCTGGCCTTCCTCATTCTGGCCCTGAGTCCTTTGTGGATGGCCTTAGCAACTCCTTCTCTTGTTTTTCCTACTTAATTGGTTTCATCTTTGGCATCCATGCCCTTCCTCTGTTCTGCCTTGCTGCAGCCTCCCACCTGCTCTCTTCCTTATTCCCAAGCTGGGAGTTAGACATGCGGGGTGGAGGGATAAAGGGGCATGTCTGACTTTGCTGTTCCTGCCACAGCTCCCCCTCTGATCAGCCCTACCCCTGCTTCTCACTACACACCCCAGCCGATTTACTGGCCACTGTCACCGTAAGTCTGTCTGGTCATTACCATGACTCTGCTGCCCACTCGCAGCCTCCCCAGCCTTGCCTGCCTGTCGAAGATGGATTAACTCCGCACTCCCCCGGGATCGCCACATGACCACTTCAAGACCCCAAGCCGCCCTTCACTGCAGACTGCATTTTTTCTGCCATAATTACAGGCAATGGCACTGACTGGAGGTTACAGCAGTGTGTGGTGGGGGGATGGACAGGTGGCACAATGTCTGCTTCTCAGCTCCGGCAGTGCCCGAGCCCTGGAAGTGACTCCCACTCCTAGCCTTGAAAAGTGCTTCCCGGGCCGGGCGCGGTGGCTCAAGCCTGTAATCCCAGCACTTTGGGAGGCCGAGGTGGGTGGATCACGAGGTCAAGAGAT